TATCATATGCAATTGAATAAGTAGACCATTTCGGAATTTGAAATTTGGGACTCTCTCAATGCATAATGGGACTCATACTTTTCTGATCAGTGAGTCCCTGGGACTCGCTGCAGGTAAACTGTAAAATGATCACTGAGAGATTACCGCTTTTTCTGCAGTCAGTGATTGACTTCTATGCAAAGTCATTTCTCAACTTGTGTTCCGTGCCATGTCATGCCTGTTGAGTGTTGATTTACTTCATATTAAGAAACTACTGCACTAAAACATTAATTCATAAATGTATATCATATGATTTTATTTCTTTTTCTCAGTATAAATAACACGTACCCTGACTGTTCTACTCTTTGAATAAAATCACTTCATTCAAGCGTTAGGGAGTGCAAAGGGTTATGATGGAGGGGTGTTGCAAATCATGAACACCTGCCAAGTGGTATGATAGCATTGTTTTATACATGTCCTCGGCTAGGCCTCAATTTCAAAATCAGTCCTTGGTCCTTGGCCTTGGCCTTGGAGGCAAGTCCTTGGTCCTTGGCCTTGGCCTCGGAAAATTTTTCAAGTCCTTGGCCTTGGCCTTGCCTCGGAAAATTTTCCAAGTCCTTGGCCTTGGCCTCGGAGGCAAGTCCTTGGCCTTGGCCTTGGCCTCGGGTTGCCGGTCCTTGGACACATCCCTGATTATTAGTAACCCCTCTAGTAAGAAGTTTGCACCTCTTTTTTTTGTGGTTAAAGATTTGATTTGGTTTGCTCACTTCGAGGAGAAGTCAGACAATTTTTTTTACAATAATACAATCATATGTTCAATGCGGCCCCTGCCGAAACACGGGAGTGAGATGAAGTGAAAGTCATGCTCGGGTGTGAATGGGAGCGAGGCTTCAGGCGAACTGCGCTGGCTTTGGAGTGGGGAGGGGCAGGCTGCAGCCCAGCGCTCTGCTCAGCTGTCTGGCAAGCCGGTCCTCCTCAGCTCCGTGTGTCCCCTCCCACATCTGTCTTCAATGGGATGGGCCTGCTTGTTCTACTGAGTAACACTGACAGCGGGCCGCCAGGCCAAGGGAACGCAACAGACGGACACTGAAAGCCATCAAAGGACTGAATTATGTTTAGGCGATGAATCAGAGCAGTAACTATGTCTAGCCCTTTTTCACTGCCTGTAAAATCCGCGGGTCACTCTTCTGTATGAACGGCACCAACACAGCATGGTCAACTCAGCGGTTTTCTGTCATCTCGGGTAGTTGCTCATAGTTTCTAGTTAATGCTGACGTTTCCAATCACAATTTGTATTGAAACAGTCCTGCTTTTCGTGCGCTTCACATTTGGACACAATATTTTTAAAAATTAAATGATAAGACTGTGTTTACATAAGTGATGTAAATCATTTAGGTTTCTATTGAGATACGCCACAGTTTTTCTTCTAGTTTGCCAGTCATGGGCATCGGCCGGTATCAGATTCTGAATTTATGATAAGACTCAGCAAAAATAAATGTTATGGTAACGTGCTGCCGCAGTTATGGCTCTAAAATGTGTTATTTTGGGTTATCTGGAGTATTGATTTTAACTTGTAAACAACAAATATTTGTTACATTCATAAAAAAAAAGAAAACTAAAAATACATTAAAAAAAGCAATTTAACATTTCTCTCTCTCTCTCTCTCTCTCTCTGCTCTTCGCTTTTTGAAGTAACCTAAGTGCGGAAACAAGATGACCTTAGCTCTGTTAGTTAGCCATGTTATCAGCCTCGTTTGCAAGTCTACTATTTATTTCAACATTGGCACACATGCTAACTCTTGTACCTGGTTCCTAATGTGCATTTCAAGACTCTGTTTTAGTATAAAGTGATGAGGGAACTCTCGTAAATGTGATGTCCTTTTGGAAGTATCGGCTCCTGTTCCAGGTACTCGTAGAACATTTTTAGGACTGTCACAAGTCAATCTTTTCAAAATTGATTATCCTATTAATTATTACACTCCCCAGTGTACATTTTTTTAATTTGCTTTACGTGGGAAACTGACAGCGATAAGGATACTTCGACAAATACCATTTGAGTTTGCCAAGTTTGAGGTGTGAACGCGATACTCACAAAGTCAAGTCTTAGGGCTCACTCACTGCACGTACTAACACTGTGAGGACTAGGGAGAAAAACTGTGATATGGGCTTTGAAATTGTGACTTTAAAAAGGTGGTGACTATTGAAACCCTGCTGGCCGTTTGTATGTACTTGTTGCAGATGTTCTGACCAGCCTTTGTGTTGTCTGGCTTTTCTAGATGGGGATGTCAGGAGCCCCGTTTGGCCAGCAGTACGGTCAAACAGGGGTCCAGCAGATGGGGCCGACGGGTGTCAATGCCCAACAACTTCAGAACAAGACAGCTCTTCCCAACAATCTGCCTCAGTTCGCATCGGAGCCAAAGGGAGCTGGAAATGTTCCCAACATGGTAAGCCTGTCCCGTGCATAGTAAGCCTGTCCTGTTAACTGATTTAATGAATTGGTATGCAAGTATTTGATCGAGTTTAATTACTTGGATTGGTCACATTGAGACGTGTCGCACTGTCGCGGTCCAGATGCAGCAGCAGGTTGCGCCTGTGGGGATGGTACCCAGCACCGGCAGCGTGGCAGCCGGTCCGACGGCCGCTCCTTGGCCTTGGCCTTGGCCTCGGAGGCAAGTCCTTGGCCTTGGCCTTGGCCTCGGGTTGCCGGTCCTTGGACACATCCCTGATTATTAGTAACCCCTCTAGTAAGAAGTTTGCACCTCTTTTTTTTGTGGTTAAAGCTTTGATTTGGTTTGCTGCACAAGTGCCAGCGGCAGGAGCAGGCCAACGGGGAGGTGAGGGCCTGCACTCTCCCCCACTGTCGCACCATGAAGAATGTCCTCAACCACATGACCCACTGCCAGGCGGGCAAGTCTTGCCAGGGTGAGTTTTTTTACTTTTGTTTTTTTTAAGTCCATAGCATCTCCAAAATTGTGTCCTAGGCTGCAGCCCAGCGCTCTGCTCAGCTGTCTGGCAAGCCGGTCCTCCTCAGCTCCGTGTGTCCCCTCCCACATCTGTCTTCAATGGGATGGGCCTGCTTGTTCTACTGAGTAACACTGACAGCGGGCCGCCAGGCCAAGGGAACGCAACAGACGGACACTGAAAGCCATCAAAGGACTGAATTATGTTTAGGCGATGAATCAGAGCAGTAACTATGTCTAGCCCTTTTTCACTGCCTGTAAAATCCGCGGGTCACTCTTCTGTATGAACGGCACCAACACAGCATGGTCAACTCAGCGGTTTTCTGTCATCTCGGGTAGTTGCTCATAGTTTCTAGTTAATGCTGACGTTTCCAATCACAATTTGTATTGAAACAGTCCTGCTTTTCGTGCGCTTCACATTTGGACACAATATTTTTAAAAATTAAATGATAAGACTGTGTTTACATAAGTGATGTAAATCATTTAGGTTTCTATTGAGATACGCCACAGTTTTTCTTCTAGTTTGCCAGTCATGGGCATCGGCCGGTATCAGATTCTGAATTTATGATAAGACTCAGCAAAAATAAATGTTATGGTAACGTGCTGCCGCAGTTATGGCTCTAAAATGTGTTATTTTGGGTTATCTGGAGTATTGATTTTAACTTGTAAACAACAAATATTTGTTACATTCATAAAAAAAAAGAAAACTAAAAATACATTAAAAAAAGCAATTTAACATTTCTAAATAAAATAAAATTGCGGCACAACAGAACTTAATTCTCAGAAGTGAGTCTCTCTCTCTCTCTCTCTCTCTCTCTCTCTCTCTCTCTCTCTCTCTCTCTCTGCTCTTCGCTTTTTGAAGTAACCTAAGTGCGGAAACAAGATGACCTTAGCTCTGTTAGTTAGCCATGTTATCAGCCTCGTTTGCAAGTCTACTATTTATTTCAACATTGGCACACATGCTAACTCTTGTACCTGGTTCCTAATGTGCATTTCAAGACTCTGTTTTAGTATGAAGTGATGAGGGAACTCTCGTAAATGTGATGTCCTTTTGGAAGTATCGGCTCCTGTTCCAGGTACTCGTAGAACATTTTTAGGACTGTCACAAGTCAATCTTTTCAAAATTGATTATCCTATTAATTATTACACTCCCCAGTGTACATTTTTTTAATTTGCTTTACGTGGGAAACTGACAGCGATAAGGATACTTCGACAAATACCATTTGAGTTTGCCAAGTTTGAGGTGTGAACGCGATACTCACAAAGTCAAGTCTTAGGGCTCACTCACTGCACGTACTAACACTGTGAGGACTAGGGAGAAAAACTGTGATATGGGCTTTGAAATTGTGACTTTAAAAAGGTGGTGACTATTGAAACCCTGCTGGCCGTTTGTATGTACTTGTTGCAGATGTTCTGACCAGCCTTTGTGTTGTCTGGCTTTTCTAGATGGGGATGTCAGGAGCCCCGTTTGGCCAGCAGTACGGTCAAACAGGGGTCCAGCAGATGGGGCCGACGGGTGTCAATGCCCAACAACTTCAGAACAAGACAGCTCTTCCCAACAATCTGCCTCAGTTCGCATCGGAGCCAAAGGGAGCTGGAAATGTTCCCAACATGGTAAGCCTGTCCCGTGCATAGTAAGCCTGTCCTGTTAACTGATTTAATGAATTGGTATGCAAGTATTTGATCGAGTTTAATTACTTGGATTGGTCACATTGAGACGTGTCGCACTGTCGCGGTCCAGATGCAGCAGCAGGTTGCGCCTGTGGGGATGGTACCCAGCACCGGCAGCGTGGCAGCCGGTCCGACGGCCGCTCGATCTCCTGTAAGTGTAGGAGTGTACAAGTCCTGCCACAGATAGCCAAATCTGCATGTGACTCAAAAAGGCTTGTAATTGTCTAGATATTCCCCAAGATGGTGGAAAAGCACTTATTGACTATGAGACAAGCCCATGGCCTGAGTAAACAAAGCTGAAGGAACAGAACTTTGTAGTAAAATGCTTGAAGGAATATCTGAATCAACACATTTAAATTGAGAGGGGGCGCGCATAGTTCATTCAATGCTTGTGTCGCCTTTCAATCTCTCCTCCCATAGTGGCCCACTGTGCATCATCCAGACAGATCATCTCCCATTGGAAGAACTGCATGCGGCATGACTGTCCCGTCTGCCTGCCTCTGAAGAACGCAAGCGATAAGAGAAACCAGCAACGTGAGTGCTGTAATTGTGGACATTTAAATGCTAAAAACAAGATAGGAACTGAAGACACTGTATGCTTGGTTATTAGGGTGGGAAATCCTGAGTGTTAGTCTCAAGTTAATGTGAAAGTATAAGGGGGTGCCACCTGCAGGTTGCACAGAGCTGAGCGTGAGGGGTGGAACTGAGGCAGGATTCCTCAGACAAGGCTGAGTCTGTAAAGGGACACCCAGGGGAGGGGCTTTGCTGTTTCGTCCTAGTGGGGAGGCAGGGCCTTGACGCCGGGCTGGTCTCTGATTGGTTCAAAGAGCCGATGACGGATTTAAATCCCCCACCAAGGCAGCGTGCTGCCTGTCAGCCAGCAACACACCGAGGAGCGGTGCTGTGCTTATCGACCACTGTGAATAAAACCCAAATAGATGTTTTAGTCCAAGAATAAAATGTCTTACCTGGTGTTCATTAGAGAAATATGTTCACATTATTTTCCTTCTCACCCTAAAGCCATGCTAGGTTCCCCTGGGGCCAGCCTACAGAATGCAATCGGCACAGTTGGAGCCAGCCAGCCCAGTGCCCCGACCATCAACAGTGCAACCACACACATCGACCCCAGCTCCATGCAGAGGGCCTATGCCGCTCTGGGTCTCCCTTATGGCAACCAGTCCCCTGCTCAGAACCAGGGTCCTGCTCAACAGAACACACAGGGGCACCAGCAGCTGCGAAATATGAACGCACTAGGTAGATGAGAAAAGTGAACATTTCTCGTCATCCCTTTTTCAAATACAAGCAAAGTTCCTAATTTCTGACTGAAATGATTATCAGGCACTAATCAGATCAACCAGATGGCAGCAGGGATGGGGGTCCCCTCTTCAGACCAGACTGGGCTGCACAGTGACTCTTTGCCCTCCACACTCAACAAGTGAGTTGATCCATGATGTTAATGGTCATGAAAAACTCTCTTTTCAAAATCACAGTCTCTTATGGGTTTTATGCATCGCATGTCCAAGTACAATCGTGGTTTGAATCTGTTAGGCAGCCTGTCTGTTAAAAACATGCTTGATGATATGCGTAGTGACAGTAAAATGTGGGATTCCATTTGATGAGAAGAAACCTCAGCTGGAGTGAACGAGTTCATGAAAAGCTCAGTTCAATTGCCTTTTGAGTTTTGCTGCCTTTCTCCTTTTGGTCCTCAAGTCAGTTGTTGCCGGATGGGTCAGTGGCAGGAGGAATGGGAAACTTGCCCGCCGCCACCCCGCTTTTTGAAGTAACCTAAGTGCGGAAACAAGATGACCTTAGCTCTGTTAGTTAGCCATGTTATCAGCCTCGTTTGCAAGTCTACTATTTATTTCAACATTGGCACACATGCTAACTCTTGTACCTGGTTCCTAATGTGCATTTCAAGACTCTGTTTTAGTATGAAGTGATGAGGGAACTCTCGTAAATGTGATGTCCTTTTGGAAGTATCGGCTCCTGTTCCAGGTACTCGTAGAACATTTTTAGGACTGTCACAAGTCAATCTTTTCAAAATTGATTATCCTATTAATTATTACACTCCCCAGTGTACATTTTTTTAATTTGCTTTACGTGGGAAACTGACAGCGATAAGGATACTTCGACAAATACCATTTGAGTTTGCCAAGTTTGAGGTGTGAACGCGATACTCACAAAGTCAAGTCTTAGGGCTCACTCACTGCACGTACTAACACTGTGAGGACTAGGGAGAAAAACTGTGATATGGGCTTTGAAATTGTGACTTTAAAAAGGTGGTGACTATTGAAACCCTGCTGGCCGTTTGTATGTACTTGTTGCAGATGTTCTGACCAGCCTTTGTGTTGTCTGGCTTTTCTAGATGGGGATGTCAGGAGCCCCGTTTGGCCAGCAGTACGGTCAAACAGGGGTCCAGCAGATGGGGCCGACGGGTGTCAATGCCCAACAACTTCAGAACAAGACAGCTCTTCCCAACAATCTGCCTCAGTTCGCATCGGAGCCAAAGGGAGCTGGAAATGTTCCCAACATGGTAAGCCTGTCCCGTGCATAGTAAGCCTGTCCTGTTAACTGATTTAATGAATTGGTATGCAAGTATTTGATCGAGTTTAATTACTTGGATTGGTCACATTGAGACGTGTCGCACTGTCGCGGTCCAGATGCAGCAGCAGGTTGCGCCTGTGGGGATGGTACCCAGCACCGGCAGCGTGTCAGCCGGTCCGACGGCCGATCCTGAGAAGCGCAAACTCATTCAGCAGCAGCTGGTCCTGCTGCTCCACGCGCACAAGTGCCAGCGGCAGGAGCAGGCCAACGGGGAGGTGAGGGCCTGCACTCTCCCCCACTGTCGCACCATGAAGAATGTCCTCAACCACATGACCCACTGCCAGGCGGGCAAGTCTTGCCAGGGTGAGTTTTTTTACTTTTGTTTTTTTTAAGTCCATAGCATCTCCAAAATTGTGTCCTATAGTTTTGCATGTGTTTTGATCTCCTGTAAGTGTAGGAGTGTACAAGTCCTGCCACAGATAGCCAAATCTGCATGTGACTCAAAAAGGCTTGTAATTGTCTAGATATTCCCCAACATGGTGGAAAAGCACTTATTGACTATGAGACAAGCCCATGGCCTGAGTAAACAAAGCTGAAGGAACAGAACTTTGTAGTAAAATGCTTGAAGGAATATCTGAATCAACACATTTAAATTGAGAGGGGGCGCGCATAGTTCATTCAACGCTTGTGTCGCCTTTCAATCTCTCCTCCCATAGTGGCCCACTGTGCATCATCCAGACAGATCATCTCCCATTGGAAGAACTGCATGCGGCATGACTGTCCCGTCTGCCTGCCTCTGAAGAACGCAAGCGATAAGAGAAACCAGCAACGTGAGTGCTGTAATTGTGGACATTTAAATGCTAAAAACAAGATAGGAACTGAAGACACTGTATGCTTGGTTATTAGGGTGGGAAATCCTGAGTGTTAGTCTCAAGTTAATGTGAAAGTATAAGGGGGTGCCACCTGCAGGTTGCACAGAGCTGAGCGTGAGGGGTGGAACTGAGGCAGGATTCCTCAGACAAGGCTGAGTCTGTAAAGGGACACCCAGGGGAGGGGCTTTGCTGTTTCGTCCTAGTGGGGAGGCAGGGCCTTGACGCCGGGCTGGTCTCTGATTGGTTCAAAGAGCCGATGACGGATTTAAATCCCCCACCAAGGCAGCGTGCTGCCTGTCAGCCAGCAGCACACCGAGGAGCGGTGCTGTGCTTATCGACCACTGTGAATAAAACCCAAATAGATGTTTTAGTCCAAGAATAAAATGTCTTACCTGGTGTTCATTAGAGAAATATGTTAACATTATTTTCCTTCTCACCCTAGGTTCCCCTGGGGCCAGCCAACCCAGTGCCCTGACCATCAACAGTGCAACCACACACATCGACCCCAGCTCTATGCAGAGGCCCTATGCCGCTCTGGGTCTCCGTTATGGCAACCAGTCCCCTGCTCAGAACCAGGGTCCTGCTCAACAGAACACACAGGGGCACCAGCAGCTGCGAAATATGAACGCACTAGGTAGATGAGAAAAGTGAACATTTCTCGTCATCCCTTTTTCAAATACAAGCAAAGTTCCTAATTTCTGACTGAAATGATTATCAGGCACTAATCAGATCAACCAGATGGCAGCAGGGATGGGGGTCCACTCTTCAGACCAGACTGGGCTGCACAGTGACTCTTTGCCCTCCACACTCAACAAGTGAGTTGATCCATGATGTTAATGGTCATGAAAAACTCTCTTTTCAAAATCACAGTCTCTTATGGGTTTTATGCATCGCATGTCCAAGTACAATCGTGGTTTGAATCTGTTAGGCAGCCTGTCTGTTAAAAACATGCTTGATGATATGCGTAGTGACAGTAAAATGTGGGATTCCATTTGATGAGTAGAAACCTCCGCTGGAGTGAACGAGTTCATGAAAAGCTCAGTTCAATTGCCTTTTGAGTTTTGCTGCCTTTCTCCTTTTGGTCCTCAAGTCAGTTGTTGCCGGATGGGTCCGTGGCAGGAGGAATGGGAAACTTGCCCGCCGCCACCCCTCTGTCCGCTTCGGGGGTCCGGAAGGCCTGGCATGAACACATCACTCAGGGCCTGCGCACTCACCTGGTGCACAAACTGTATGTTGTGCTTGTGTAGATTGACACGTTGATATGTGATAGAAAACAGTGTGTGACTAATCCCCAATCCCCAGAGTACAAGCCATATTCCCAACCCCAGACCCCGCAGCACTGAAGGATCGCAGAATGGACAACCTGGTCGCCTACGCGCGCAAGGTCGAAGGTGACATGTACGAGTCGGCCAACAGCAGGGTAAATAATCCAAGTTAGTGTCTCGGTGGGGAATCTTTTACCCATCAGTGACAAGTTAGTCTTTTCTCTTCCTCTGGCTAGGATGAGTATTACCACTTCCTGGCGGAGAAGATCTACAAGATCCAGAAGGAGCTGGAGGAGAAGCGACGTTTGCGGATTCAGAGGCAACCTGGCATGGTGGGCAACGCCGGGCCCCAGCAGCCTTCGATGACTCAGCCCAATGCCATGGTTCCGGGACAACCCGTCCGACCTCCCAGTCAGTAGTCAAATCTCTCATTTTTTCTTTTTGGGGGTTTAATAAAGGATTAATGATTGATTTCCTTCCACTTCAGATGGACCTGTGCCTATCCCAAATCAGATGATGAACCGTATGCAGGTGCCTCAAGGTATGAATGCACTGATTAACCTGTGATTTCTTATGAAAGTGCCATCAGAATATTTGTTGTCAACTTTAGTGTTTTCATTGCACATTTTAGACTTCCACCAATACGATAAATAGATGTATAATGGACTGTGTATATTCCCTAAGGAATCAATCAGTACAACCCAATGGCAATGCAAAATGCGCAGATGTCACAGACACCCTTGGGGCCCCGAGCTCCCTCGCCCATGAACCATCCCCCGCAGCTCAACATGAACGCCGTCCCAGCAGTGAGTTTTGTCTCCTTCTTTGTGCTTTATATTGAGATAATGAAAAAGAACTTTCTTGGAACAGCAAATACAACGTAGTGGTCCGATTTGGAGTTCAACCAACATTTTCTATGCATTCAAAAAGTCAAACTAAACTTCAGCCATGCATGACTTCAGCCAATCTATTGTTCACCCAAAAACATACAGTAACTCCAAAACTGGATTTAGTTTTGTTCTGTTGATTTTTTTGTGATGCCACCAAAGAAAGGGTACCAGTGATGGCAAAGGAGAAAAGTGGCCTGATACCCACAGAACCAGAAAGGAAACAGTCAGTACAGTATGAGCAATGTACGAGCAACACAAAGTTCAATGACATGCGTGTAATATTAAGCAGATGCTTGTGTTAATTGACTTACTATACTCTGTATCAGCGATTCCCAAATTATGGTATTTAAGGGAATGTGGGTGAAAATGGGAAATAGGATTTGCAAACTATGAGATGTAAGTAGACATAGAGTCTGTAGTGCCAAAATGACACATGTAAAGAACAGAATTTTTGTTTGTAATACAGTATCTGATTTGAAAGGCATTAACTTTCTTTAAAGCGTTGCCTGTCCAATTAATTAGTTTTATGTTGGCAAAAGTTTAAGCCTGCAGGAAATGAATTCACATGGCATAGTTGACAAATTACAGCAACTTGGAAGTCAACCAGCATCACGGCACCAATGGTTTTGCACTACATGACTAACCTGGGTGCACTTGTGGCCTTAGATTATTAAGAAAATGAGATGCCTACCAGTGTAATGATTTTCATCCGCGTTTTCTTGTCCTTCCCCAGATGGGCATGTCCCCTTCGAGAATACCGCAGACTCCTGGAATGATGGGTAATCACGCAGGAAACATGGTTACTCAGCCAGCCAACCAGGGTCACTTCTTGCCGCAGGGACAGTTCCCTCCAGCCACCGGAGGAGCAATGAATGTGAACGTGGGCATGGGTCAGCCAGTAACGCAACCTGGTGCACAGGTGAGCTATCGTGTGTTCTCAGCTACTTCCTCTCACAGTAAACGCTGTCTTCCAACATCTGTTTTTCTGTTGTATAAAAACCCCCCAAGTATCGACAGTGGAACCTCATTTTACTAATGAGATGGTTGACAAACCAATTCCGTTTATGGACAAAATTTTGGAAGAAAAATTACCATGTTCACTTACTATTTTTGGTTCGCGAACAGTCTTTGTATTGCTGGGGAAAGCTCAGCTGTCTTTTATTTTTGTTCTATAATAGCACGCAGTATGGCTCCAAAGAAAGTGCAAACTGCTCGTGCAAGTGTTATTCCGAGACTTCTCGGGTGTGATCCTGCCAGCGTCATGGAGCAAAAGAAAGGCAGAGTGGGGCGTGAGGAGGAAAAAAAACTTGAGAACCAGCACGTTAACTGGGGTTTCCCCTCTGGTGAGGCCGCTTTGAAGCGCCTCATTATTAAGTGTGATGCTGCTGACACCTCAGAGAAAATGGAGAGGAGAGCGGGAAAAATAACTCACCCCAAAGAGGGAGACAGTGGTCCCATTTAGCGAGTGTTACCCTTACCGTGAGAAGTGAAAGTTCCACCTCTGGCTTGGCTACAGTATTTGTGCTCGCAGGTGATAGGAGTGTCTGTCAAGCATTGTTCTTTTCAACATGCCAAAAACTACACAGCCTTGTTTACGTTTACCATGGATACCGTTAGCCCAAAATGGCCACCCCTTCCCACGTTGCAATGCAGTGTGTACTTGTCATTTACCTTACTCACACAATGCAAAACTCCATCGACGGGCTAACGAATATCATCATGCTTTCAGCCAAGAATATTTGAAAATAAATGGCATAGCAACACATGTGGACAGACAATATAACAATACTCACAGGGATATATTTATTATCCACTACAAAAAAAATGACTAATTACTGCAGTTCACCGAGTCACAGCAGTAGTGAGTGGCTTGTCAACTTGAATATATTATACTGCCCCCTGGTGGTCACGCACCCAAAATGATTTGCAATGAAATATCTCAACGCTACTGCATTCTAATTGTGTCCAGTTTTCCGAACAGTCGCAGAATTCCAACCTCGCTCTAAATGTGCACGGCACCCTCGGCTCTCAGTTGCCGTGTGGACCTGCAGCCCAGCCAGGCATGGGCAGCACGCCTCCACCCAACCCCTCCACCGGCCTCCAAATGCAACAACACCATCAGCCCGCGCAGGCCCCGGTGCTGCAGCAGCCCTCCACTCCAGCCTCAACGGGTGGGCCGGCCTCCAACCAAGCCCTCATACCTGGCAGCCACCCTGGTCCACCCTCTGTCGTTAGTACACCACCCGAGCCTTCCCAGCCGCTCACACCCCTGCAGCCGCACCCCGAGCCCCTCGGCCAGATGCATCAGCCCACCTCAGTGCCGGCGCAACATCCCAGCACACCGGTGAGGCTTTTGTCCGCTTGGCTGTGAATGAGAAAATGTTTCTGGCCATCTACAATCATGATCCGCTGTTTCGTCCTTCAGATGTCGCAGGCCGCTGCCAGCATCGACAACAGAGTGCCCACTCCGGCCTCTGTGGCCGAGGTCAACTCTCAACAGAACCTGCCAGACATGACCACCACTGACCTCAAGTCGGAAGTAAAAGATGAAGATGATGACATTACTTCGGGGAACAAGTATACTGGCATAAAAGTAGAGGTACATCCTTGAGTTTAAGGACTAATACTGTGGTACCCTGATGTAAATTAAGTGACATGTGGGTCCACAGATGAAATTAAATTAAACGAAACTGAAGGTGCACCACCTTCTGATAAATTACTTAAAAAGAGAGATTTTTTTTTTTTTTTTTACATGACTCATCCTTCAGTTTTCTTTTCTTGTACCAGAATGATGAATCCAAACCCCCTCTGGTGAAGGAGGAGCCAGATACAGCTGAGCCAAAGCAGGAACCGATGGACACTGAAGAAAAGAAGCCAGCGGTGAAGACGGAACCCAAAGAAGAGGCGGAAAGTGGGGGCAGCGCCGCCGCTGCTCAGAGCCGCAAAAAAAGTGAGTTGTGTCCAGTGGTACGTTTACAAGTGCCAAAACTGTTTTTAGTTTTTTTTTCCCCTTTATGCGCCACTGTATGTCAAAGTCATTGTTCTGCTTGATGTCTGTAGTTTTCAGACCTGAAGAGCTCAGACAAGCTCTAATGCCTACACTTGAGGCCCTCTACAGGCAAGACCCGGAGTCCTTGCCCTTCAGACAACCTGTGGACCCCCTGCTGCTCGACATCCCGGTCAGTGTCCATCCACGCTTAGAATATGTGCCAGTCAGCCTTTTTTTGTTTTTTCCCTCAAAAGCTGAACCCCTCCCTGCTCCCCAGGACTACTTCGACATTGTGAAGAACCCCATTGACCTGTCCACCATCAAGCGCAAACTGGACACGGGCCAGTACCAAGAGCCGTGGCAATATGTAGAGGACGTGTGGCTCATGTTCAACAATGCGTGGCTGTACAACCGCAAGACTTCGCGCGTTTACAAGAACTGCACCAAGCTCGCCGAGGTGTTTGAAACAGAGATTGAGCCCGTCATGAAGTCGCTGGGCTACTGTTGCAGCCGCAAGGTGAGACGACGCACGGCTGTATGTTCACGACACACCTTTCCGCACTGAAACGTGATGTTCTTTGTCTTTGGTCCGCAGTACGAGTTCTCCCCCCAAACACTGTGCTGCTACGGCAAACAACTGTGCACTATCTCAAGGGATGGCATCTATTACAGCTATCAGAACAGGTAAACCTGCATGCTGACTGAGGGGGGCTTAAAGTTTAAGTGTGCCACACTCAGTGATTACACTTGCCACTGCATTTCCACCAAGCTGCAGTCAAGCCTCTATTACAAGCCCTCAGGTTCCCCCCCTGCTGGACACAATGTTATTGCACACAACTAACTCGTGTGAGGCATGTTACGTCTTTGAAGCTACTTTTAGAAGTATTCCGTAAATAACAGCACAAGCCACTTTACCAATGAATTTTATCTGTCAGAAATGTTATATATATATACTGTGTACAATTTTTTTTTTTTTTTAACATTTTTGTTGTTCGACCTTCCTTCTTGTAATGGCCATGCTGAAACACACGAAATAAATACATTTAAAATCAACCCCAAAGGCTCATGTATTAAATTAATTGACAAAGATAAAGTTGGGCATTTTTGCTACAGTTACTTTTCGTTAGTTTAAGAAATGTAAAATACGTAAAATGTAGGTTCAGTTCATAACCTCGCTTTGTCCTTTATTGTTGAATGTGTGTGCGCCTTGTCGCCTGTACTGCTGCTGTGGATCTGCAAGATGCAGTTTACCCAGTTATGGCTTTATCCCCAACAGGTATCACTTCTGTGAAAAGTGCTTCAACGAGATCCAGGGCAACAATGTGACGCTGGGGGACGACCCGGCACAGTCTCAGACGTAAGTTAGGGCTCTTCTAAATGTTAAATCACTGAGGTGTTGTCCTGCTAAAACACAAAAAAACAACTTAATGTTTTTTTTTGTTTTTTGTAACTTTTGGATTTCAGCATGATATCCAAAGAGCAGTTTGAGAAGAAGAAAAATGACATGTTGGACTCTGAACCGTGAGTACAATCTGTTCTTTGGCCACGATGTGCCTCGATGAGATTTGGACAACACTTCCGTTGTCGTGTCCAAGGACAAACCGCTGAGCATGCAAATGTCTGTCTTCACAGGTTTGTTGAATGTAAAGATTGCGGACGCAAGATGCATCAGATCTGCGTGCTGCATTACGACATCATTTGGCCGTCGGGGTGAGTCTTCGCCATCGCTGTCACTTCAGAGTTTGGGAATTTCTCTTAAGGCGCTTTTATCTTTCAGCTTTGTCTGCGAGAACTGTTTGAAGAGGTCTGGGAAAACAAAAAAGGAGAACAAGTTTTCAGCTAAAAGTAAGCTGAATGTCAACATGGAAACATGATAAACCTGAAGTGAATTCATGAAAAATGTGTGTGTTTTTGCGGAAAGGGTTGCAGTCAACGAGGTTGGGAACGTACATTGAGGACAGAGTCAATAAGTACTTGAAAAGACAGAACCACCCAGAAGCCGGCGAAGTGTTTGTGCGAGTCGTAGCCAGCTCTGACAAAACTGTAGAGATTAAGCCTGGAATGAAGTCTAGGTAAGTCTTCCACTGCTGCGACTGCTTTTTGGACATTTGATCAGTTCTGACATAAACTTTTGTTTTGCTCAGGTTTGTGGACTCGGGCGAGATGGTCGAGAGCTTCCCTTACAGAACCAAAGCACTTTTTGCATTTGAAGAAATTGACGGTGTGGACGTTTGTTTCTTCGGCATGCACGTCCAGGAGTATGGCTCGGATTGTCCTTTTCCAAATACGAGGTCCGCATCGCATTGAAGAATAATCCGATCATATTTCTGCTCGATCATGCTTCTAAGACTTTTTATTCCTTGTTAGGCGGGTTTATATATCATACCTCGACAGTATTCACTTCTTCAAACCACGCATGCTCAGGACTGCAGTTTACCACGAGATCCTAATTGGATACCTGGAGTATGTCAAGAAACTGGGGTACCTGAGCAATAACGTCACATAGTATGGTTCCTTTTGTCGTGTAATAGTCTTAAAAACAAAAAAATCTGAATCCTGTTCAGGTATGTGATGGGTCACATCTGGGCCTGCCCACCCAGCGAAGGAGATGACTACATTTTCCACTGCCACCCTCCCGACCAGAAGATCCCCAAACCGAAGAGGCTGCAAAAGTGGTACAAGAAGATGCTGGAAAAGGCTTTTGCTGAGAGAATCCTACACGATTTCAAGGTCAGCATCTTTTGCGTTTGTGTCATAAATCGTCCAACTTTATCGCAAAGAAGCGAATCAATATGGAGATACTGTATGAGTGGACTGAATGCTTGTTGAGTGACGGATCCTGCTTTGCTTTTAGTTTTGTTTTTTTATATTTGTCTTGTGCTTTTTCAAAAGCAACAATGGAAATGAAAATTCATAAAAGCACAGTGAAACCTCAGGGATTGGTCACAAAATACAGGTGCGGTACATACAATAAATGTGAGTTTTGTGGAAAAACATAATTTCAGTTGTATGTTTCAACTTCGGAATTGAACATGAGAAATTCAGTATTCAGTCTGTGCAGAGTGAAATGTTTTGTTTTTAATTTTTTTGAATTTCACCAGAACGTTAACCAAAAACAAAAAAACCTCACCATCTTTGGATATTAGTATTATTACATTAACAACTGGAAAGAGATTATATGTCGAAATTTGATTGGAGTTGGCCGTCTGAAAAGTTTTTTGCGATACGTTTAATGAATCGACATGCATTAATTTCTTTCTAAACTGAAAAACTTCTATTGCAGTACTCAAGTTTATTGTGATGCCCTTGTACGTCTCATCATTGTATCATATTTTTGCACTCATGCCGTATTGTCCTCGGGACTTTATTAAAAATGAAATGGCCCCCAATAGGGAAAATGTATCCCATCTTGGTATATGGAGTCAGCATATTGTAACCTTTTTGTTGTTGTTGCTCACGTCAGAATGATAAAGTGACATGTAAAAGTTTTAAGATGATAGACTGTTTCAGTTTCAAAAATGAAGGGTTGCTATGCGAAGTGTTACTTTTTGTTTATGGATGTTGTTGGCGCTTTTACAGATGTTTAAATTGTCTTTTACTATCTCACATATGCGACTCCCCCCTCATCCCTGTTTGATTCATCTGACTGCTCAATTTTAATTGGTCATTTCCTTGTTGATGTTTGTCTGTGAAAAGTTGTTAAACTTGCTAACTTCAAGTCACTGTTTCAACTTGCTTCTTGTCATTCAGGACATTTTCAAGCAAGCCACAGAAGACAGGCTGACCAGCGCCAACGAGCTGCCGTATTTCGAGGGTGACTTTTGGCCAAACTTCTTAGAGGAGAGCATCAAAGAACTGGAGCAGGAGGAGGAGGAGAGGAAGAAAGAGGAGAACACGGCCTCCTGTGAGACACCAGAGGTGAGGGAACAAGATTGGGGCTTGGGGAGTGGGAGGAAAGGTTTTATGAGAGCCAAGGTCTCCTTCTGCCAAAATCAACACACTGATTCGAGGTCCTCTTATTTTATTCCAGAATGTATCATCCTAAAACATCCAAAAGCTTTCAACAGCTGCTCTGACATTTTTGCAGTTGCTCTTTTTGAACGTTGCTTTCTGTGCAAGTTGTGACCCTTCACATTGTAGAAAGTGTTCTGTCAGTCGTCATCTGTACCTGTGGGTAAAAAACAAAAAACAAAAAAAAAAAAAAAAAAAAAAGGACGTTTCGCTTCTCTCACAGAAGCTTCGTCAGCGGTAGACAACCCTGAAGTCTCCGTGAAGACTCCGGGAAGTTGCTCTGCGCTAAAAGGCTGAGCGTGGCCTGTTTGAGGACTGGGTGGGGATGGTTAGTCACGCCCCTATGGTGAAGAGGCCCATTGGTTTCTAAACTCCCTATCATTGGGTCTTGATTAGGCCTATTGTTTGGGCTAAGGCTGAATAGCTACTTTCAGTAAGCCTGATCAGCATGTCTATGTCCCTTACTGGTCAACAAGTTATTGTAAATAGGAGACAGGTTAAATCTGATACCTCCTTCACGGTTCAGAGAGGGTGAAAATTTTTTAACAAAAATCGCTTCCTTTACTCCCCTTTCAAACCATCTCTTTTCTGTTCCTAGGATTTTTACTTGTTCATCTTCAATTGTGTGGTTTGTTTCTTTTAAGTGTGCGTATACTGCACTTTTGTTATCATTGTTTTTCCATTTGTGTTGATAAAGTCTTTTCTTGAGTGTTTGTTTGGTTTCTCCAATGTAATGTTCCTTGCACTCACTTTCTTGGCAACGGATGGAATAAATCAGATTGCATTTTTGGGTGTTAGGAACCCGGTCTTTGGGGTGTACTAGTTTTTGTCTCAATGTGTTTATCGGTTGAAAATAAACAGGAATATCATGTTGTAGAA